TTATATTAAATATTCAAAAAGATAAATCTAAATTGTATGAAAGGAAACATATTCAATACATTGTAGTTTTCTACTCATTATCGCTAGAACACTTTGTGTCTTGCTAATAAAGATACTTAAAATAACTTAGTTTAAGTATAAGTAACATAATAGATTTTAGGACTAGTATTTTGAGTTTAATTACTTTTTGCTTGTAACAATTTTCATAATTCCAAGACCCAATGAAAAATTTAATGCTTTATTCGTTTTAAACTTACTATATAAATATATTTTCCACATATAAAATTTATTCGGCATGATTCGGTTTTTTTTTCGGTTTATTTATATAAAAAAAAAATCTTCCCTAATTATCGGTACGGTTATAGATTTATATAAAAACCTACGGTTTCTTTAAAAGAAACCTAAAAGTCGATTCGGTGCGGTACAGTTCGATCAGTTTAGTCGATTTTCAAATATCTATTGACAACCCTAAATAGCGGTCTTTAAGAATGATGCAAATTTTCAAAGAACACACACAAAAATCTCCAATAAAAATTCACAATTGTCGAAACACGTTTTTCACACTGTTTTACTAACAAAATTATAAAAAGCTTTTCCAGAAGTCGTCCAAGTGGCTTATTTGATTAACAATTTAAGATTAATCAATAGTAAACTATAAAACCTTACGGCTCAACAACTTAAGCACTATTCCCCATATAACATTTACGTTTTACGAAGTTAGAAAAAGAAAAAAAAATGACTAGCCACTTTAAATTCTATATTTTTTTTTTCTATTGACAACTGAATTATCCCAATACAGAAAAAAGGTATTTAAAGCAAACTGTTGATTATTCTTTTGGAACAATTTTAGCACTTCTTTTGGCATGGCGTAAGGATATGTGTCTACCTTTAACCACAAATTAATTTTGTACCAAGTATTTTTTTGGAAAGTAATTTTTGTTCAAATTTAAGGTAATTGGCGAGCTTTTAGAAGGAAAAAAGTGTTCTCGAATAAAAGCAAATAAAAGTATTCCTAAAAATATTATTTTTAAAATACTTTTGAGAGAAATAAATTTACAAATACTTTCTCAAAAGTATTTTTTTAAATTAATTAGCCAAATACAAAGTATTTTATTTTTTTCAAAAATAAACTGATTTTAGAAGCACGGCTAAACAATCTTGGCTATTTTAGAAAAGAATTTTATCTACCGTAATGGACATATATTCCAGGTGAAAATTCGGATTAAAATATGCAGAGTAACTTTTTAGGCTACTAGTAGTTCTATAGCAGATGCTTTAAAAAGAAGGAATAATGGTGTCAAAAGCCAATGCCACTGAAGGTGAAGGTGACGTAAAAGTAGGGTTCAATTTTTAACTGTCAAAACCAAAATCTCCCTCCACCACTCATATAATTTCCTTCCACTTCTCCATCTCCTCCTCATTTTCCTCCATTTTTCCCGTTCCGCCAAACACGCCCGCCACTGTCCAAAAACACTCTTCAACAGAAAATTTCCCGGCGCCGGCTAACTCTCAGTTCCGGCCACCTTTCGGAGAAAAGAAATGGCGGAAACAGAAGAAGATGGTTCAAATTGGCTTATAGAACTTGGGTTAATGGAAGACCTTCCTTCCCTTGAACCCAATGCTCAATGGCCCTCTACTGCTTTTTCCCTTCCTAATAATGTCAGGTAATTTTAATATATAGCTTTGTTTTCAAGTAATTTTAGTAAATTAATTGAAGTTTACTCTGGTTGATATTTCTGTAGATTGATTCTTATCTTATTTTGCAATTCAAGTTTCATTCTTTTATTGATCCTTTTTTAAAAATTAATTAAGTTGGTGAAATGGGAATGTGGGGTTGAATTTTCTTGAACTAAGAAATTGAAGTGAACTATTTAAAATGCCAAACACAAAAAAAGAACTGACCTTTAAGTGTACTGCTTAAAAAGCCAAAAAGAAGACAATAAAAACAATTTTTGTGGCAGGGCATATAACTCATTATCTGTTGAGTGTTGACTACTACAAGTAATTTTAACTTGTTCACTTCCTTATTGAAAAAGAAAAGGAAAAAAGAAAAATTTGCTTGTACACTTGTCAAATAGCTTTAGTTTCAGTTTCAATAAGCAGAGGAAAGTTCAATTTGAGTTCTGAGGGTGATTTTGTGCTATTATGTGGTGTGTTTCAGAATAAGGAGGTTGTGAGTAAGATGAGGATGGTGACTATCTCAGTAGGTTATATAAATGATTAGTTTGTGATTAAACAAGGGAAATAATGAGTTTTGTAGTATTTTCAAGTTTATTCTTCTACTGCCAATGTTGTATGTGGCCTCTATAGCATAGAAGAAGAAGATTTTGTTAATCTAATTGGATTCGGTCTGTAGGTGCCTCACTATTCTGAAGCTGTCAAATGATTGATTTTATTGTTATCCCGCTATTGATTTTATTGTTATTCCGCTCTTTGTTGGATAGAGTTATCCATAAACATATAGGTTTTCCAAGTTAGACGCTTTAGCTGATCTCGTAAAATACTGATGAACAAATTAGGATTTATGCTAAGTAAGATGCAGAGCTCATGGATAAAACAAGCTTCTAGGAACATGAAAATTATTTCTGTGGCCTTCCTTCCTCTGTACCCATTTCCTTTTCCCAAACAAGAAAAAGGAATGATTGAGTATGGATATGTTTTTCATATATAAAGTTGGAGGTTTAGAGACACTTGATTTTGAAGAGATTTTTTGGCAATTATCTCCGCCTGTAGTTTAATCTGCAGCCTTAGTCGTAGAAGAGATACTCATCCATTTTAACATTAATCTTGTAAGAGGAGGATTGTATATGCTAAGTCCTCTCGGTCTTTTCAATATCTTGCACTAATAACTTTAATTTTATGAAAATGTTTCCATTTTTGTGTTGCACAACTAAGCCGATTGATCGTTAGAGTTGGTGGTGACTGTGATGTGTTTCTTACCTAATTACAGTTCTGGATTAGATGATTCCTACGGCAATTCAGATAGTCTGAAGGACCGTGGCTCCAAAAAGAGGTATTTTTCTTTTAATCAATTGTTTGCTGGAGTTTTTTAAACACGAGTTGAAAGAGTCGAAAACAGTAGCCTCTAGCACATAACATCAGAATATCTCTTGTTCTACTGTATTGTGTATTCTATTGTATTGTATATCAGAAAGTTGAAAAAGCATCAGTGATGTCTTGTAGCATTATCTAACAATATCATGTTATTCTTTCTTTGTTTTTGAAGTGTTTCTTTTCCCTCTTTCCCAGTATTCCATTATATGAAACTTTATTTGTTTCAGGGCGAGATCTGGAGCATGTGCATCTGATTCAAAAGCACAAAGGGAGAAAATGCGTAGGGACAAGCTGAATGACAGGCACACACACTCTCTCTCTCCTTCTCTTTTTCTGTGTGTTATCCAACTCTTGCATGCTTGACTGATGGTTAGTGCTGCATTTAAATTCGTTACTGCTGGTTGCTGGAATTATTTTTGAATATAAAATTGTTTTTGTATTCTTCTATTTTATTTCGTCAAGGTTCCAAGAATTAAGTTCTATCCTGGAACCTGGAAAGCAGCCCAAAATGGATAAATCTGTTATCTTGAGTGATGCGGTTCGAATGGTGGTGCAGTTGAGAGATGAAGCTCAGAAGCTCAAAGAGTCTTATGACAACTTGCAGGAGAAGGTTAATGAATTGAAGGTGTGTTCATTGAACTCATTATCTCGTTGTTATTTTCTCGCTCATGAGCTATGTATAAAGTGATTATTCTTTTGATCTTTTCTAGGCTGAGAAAAATGAACTCCGAGATGAGAAACAGAAGCTGAAAGCAGAGAAAGACAAACTTGAGCAGCAACTGAAGACCATGAACGCTCAACCTGGGTTTTTACCACACCCGCCTGCAATGGCTTCAACTTTTTCAGCCCCACATCAAGTCTATGCAAGCAAAATGATGCCATATCTTGGCTACCCTGGAATTCCTATGTGGCAGTTTGTGCCTCCTGCTGCAGTTGATACCTCAGAGGATCATGCTCTCCGTCCCCCAGTTGCTTAAATCTTATGCGACTTTTTGTTACTAGAATTATGGGAATGTTTTGACTCGTATGTCAACAACTTTGTTGACGTTTGCTGACATTTTGTTCTCCTAATATTATCAGATTGGTAAATCATAGTATGATGAGGTAGTCAATCAACTGATTGTGTATAGTAACGTGTAAATCTCGTTGAAGTTTACATGAATACCTTATTTATATCATCTGACCAAGCATACATCCTCAAAGACATGCTATTAGTCGTTGTTCAATTTTGACTACAATTTTGTAGCTAGAGTTGCAGTCAGCTAACAACTTCTAGTTTAGAGCAGGAATGGTTAATACATTCATATCCTCTAGGTCAACAATGTCAGATGTTTTAGAGCGACTATGCATGAATGCTCTTTCTTGTCATTTACCCTTTAGATAATATATTGACAGCTACTACTACTTGCTCTAATTTTTGTGCACTTGGAAGGAAAAGGTTGAGCACTCATTTAATTAGTAAGCTGTCATGCTCATTTTTATTTCATGACCATAATTTTCTTCATCCGCCGAGATGATAACAACAACAATAACCCAATGGAATCCCACAAGTGGGGTCTGGGGAGGGTAATGTGTACGCAGACCTTACCCCTACTTCTTCAGAGTAGGGAGGCTGTTTCCGATAGACTCTCGGCTAAAGAAGATGAAAAGATACTTCATCCGCCGAGATAAAACAATAAAAATGATTTTTTTTACCCGGCTTTGTTGTATGTGCAATTTATTTGTTGAGAGTCATGTTTGCCCATCTAACAACTTTTTACTCTATTTTTCAGTTAACTATTTTCAGAAACTATGTTTTTGATACTGAAATAGGTTTTCATTGAAGAAACATCTTCTGTAAACCATGTAAGTCCATGTATGCTAAGTAAAGATTCACTGGAAACTCGCCTCTAAAAGAGATGATCGTCGTGCAAGCTATTGTTGTTATATGGATTAATAATCATGGCTTAAGCATAACAATTGGAAATACATAAGATATGTAAAATCATGGCTTAAACTTCACAATCGAAGTTACAAACATCTCAGAGCTCTCTTCACTCATGTTCTCTAATATGAATCTTAACAAAAGCTTCCCAAGAAGCATTTGATTCTTTAGATTATTAGATAAAGCATAAAATTGCAAAACTTGGACAATGCCTTGAATTGGATAATTTCTTAAGACTTGATCTTTTTCTTTTCTCAACAAGGCTGCTTGAACCCCATGTAATTCCCACTAGTGTAATCCCTCCAGATATCAACAGCTCCAAAACTGGTCATGAGAACAGTGCTTAAAGCCATTACTATGCCAACAGAAAACACAATGAGGGATGCTCTCCCATGATGTTTTATGGCTCTCTGAACTACTACTAATCCAACGATTGAGGCAACACAACATACAAGTGCAAAGATGAGGGCGTCGTCCACCTGCTCCATCCCTAGCAATAGATATTGCACAGCAGACATGCTAGAGGAGAAAAAAACCATGAATGAACAGGTTGCTGCTGTCACCTATTGTAAGAAAAAGTCATCAGAATCCTAAAAGAAAAAAGCCAAATTTAAGGATAACTAAGATGGAAGAATAAGAGGTATGGCAAAGCTTACTTCAGGAGTTATTCCAACTTGGATAAGAAGGGGACTAATTAGCATTCCACCACCAATTCCAAAAACGCCACCCAGAACCCCTGCTAGTAGTGCCATTAATGGGAATATGAGCTTCCCTGAAGGTCCATGTTTAGTTTCACTGCTTCCTTCCTGCATTTAAGGAACAAACTGAGTTAACTTTTAATCAAGAAATCAAGCAAAAGAAAGAGTTCAACTTTTGTGCACAGATATTGTATGGTATTTCTATCCCATGTCAAAATGACCTACACCATCAGGTAACTCTTATAGTAATGCTAATTTGGTAATCAAGAAATTTAAGTAAATAGCCTACTGTGACGGGCTAAATTACAACGATAGTGCAAAAATTATTTACATAGCGTAAGTAGTATAAACTCTCTTATAGATACCTGCTTCTTGGAAGGTATGTTCTGCTGACTTGCTCTATTATACAAGATCCATGACGTAAAGATGATAGCCATAGGAAACTGAACTGACGAGATGATCCAGTATCCCACACCACATGCCTCCATAGAAATGATTCCCTGCACATTCATTAAACAGTTTCTGTTACAATGTTACAAACTAGTAACCTAACATTTCAAAAATTCTTACTCTCATTACCACTTTCCTTTTTCTACTTCTTTCCTCATCTAGCCATTACCGTTCTTAAGCAGTTGGAATTAGTAGCAAATGGTTCAGCAATAACACATCTTAAGTCCATAAATTAAAGTACCAGATCCCACTTTCTTTCCAGTTTCAGAACTGAAGAAAGTGAAAGATTAGTAGGTCTTTCAACTAAATATCTTCTAGTCTATGGTGCCAGAAAGAGATTAGAGCCAAACAATTTAAGTACTCTGTAGTTTTTAAGCATCAAGTACTTAAAAATACTTTTTACGTGTTGGAGCTAATTTTGTGAATAAACAATTGCGTGTTTGGATAGAAATGATAAAGCTGAAAATAAACATGTTATCTACCTCTATAGCGAGGAACAAACAAGTTATTAAACATGATAGTAAAAACTACTTAGTTTTTTCCAAATTGTTGTTTTCATGGTCTCAACACAAACTATTACGTCATTTTTTGGGACGCAAAGAATATTACTTTTAACAGGGGAAGAGGACAGAACTCACTAAACTGAAAGAGGACAGGAATCGACATCATGTTTGTAATGCTAAAAAGAGTAGTAATATAAACAATTAGATTTCAGCATTATATTCTAGTGATGAGAAATAAAACTGAAATTAACCTTAAAGGGCGAAGATCTCTACGTAATTTTGGTGACCAGTGCGAGAAACGAGAACTCCAAATTGTTGAAACTTTGAAATTAATTCATATCCCATTCAAACCAAGTCATATGATAGTAGAATGTAGAAGAGCACTACTATAAATTACTGTATGTAGTTCCTCCTTTATTTAGTACTCCCTCCGATCCAAAATAAATGATTTTTTTGGTCTATTTTTGGTGGTCCACAATAAGTGATTTTTCAAGATTTCAAGAATTAATTACTTATTTTTTTTCTACATTGCCCTTGGAATAAATAATGTTGGAGTATGTGTTAGGAGTGGTTACGTGAAGAGATAGTAAAGATTAATATGATAAATTTAATGTTAAAGGGGAATTTCTTAATATGTGTGAAAACAACCAAAAAAAATCACGTATTTTGGACCGGAGAAGGGAGGAGTAATAGAGTATAAAAAATGTTAACAATATATAATAGGATCATAGGACTCAGTGATGGCATGAAGTGTCCCAAAAAAGGAAAAATAAGACAAATGAAAAAGATACGTGTAAACAAAACGGAGCATACTTGTCCATATCGATTTCCACGAAGAAGATAGAGGAAAAAGAAAGAAAACCAGAACATCACCAACACTCCAATTTTCATCCACGGAATGCTGCCTCCTCCTCCTCCCTTTGCTTCCTTCTCCAACAAAGGCTCACTCTCATTTTTTAGCAACCCATTTTCCAATTCTTGATTTCCATTTTTTATCCTCATCACCTCCACTTCTGATTCCAATTTCCAAAAACAAAAGCCTGATTTACATGTTTTGAAAGTACAAAAACCAAGAAACACAGCAAACAGTATAGTGATAAGCCATTCCGGGAGTACACGATTGCATATAACTCCAATGCTAACACCCAACAACATGCAGGGTTGCGAGAGCAATGCTATGTCAAAATCAATCAAAATCTTGCCACCATTTTTAGGACTTGTAATGAACATGTTACAAACAACATTAGCAATAGAGCCACCTGTGACCATAAATGCAGAAAAGCTTGAAGCTGTTTTGAGGTCTACACCAGCAATTACAGTGAGAACTGGTACATATAAACCTCCACCTCCAATCCCACCAGCACTAGATATAGAGGCTGCTAAAAAACAGAGCACCCCTGCTACTACAGTAGGAGCTTCAAGTAATTTTAGACCGGTATCTGCTTGTTTTTGCTGCTGATTAACCCTCCATTCATAGATTGCATTCAAGAATTGATTCAATTTGGGGATATCTGAAGTGGGGTTTGTTTGTTTTGCTATAGAAAATCTGCAGGTGGTAAAAAAAATAAGGAAGAATGTCCATTTCAGGTAGCTGTTGTGACAATTCATTTTCTAGAAAATGTTTTGTTACAATGAGAGAGTGCTTTGGAGGAGAGGTTTTAAGGTGGTGTAGTGTCCTTAAGAGGAAAAAAATGTTGATGGTTTAAAATATGGGACGTAATGACGGTTTGTACAAAGACATGGGAGGAAAACTAGAATTTATTTTGGACCTTTTTGCCACTTGTCATCGTCTTTATAACTTTCACCAATTGTCCATGTCAACATCCAAGCATATTTGCCTTCTTAGGATGAGATATTAAATCAGATGCATAATGGTGACTGATCAAATTGCTACTCTTTTAAGTGAAGAAAGAGGTCGAAGAATAAGTTGAAATAATGGGACAAATTAATGCTTAAAGCCTCAAACTCTATGTAACATTGTCTTCATTAAGGGTGTACATGGACCGGGTTGGTTCGATTTTTATTAAAACCAAACAAAATCAATTATATCGGATTTTATTGGTTCGATTTTCTCAGATTTTTCGGGTTTTTTTTGTTACATGAATAATATGTCAGTTTTAATTTGTTAAATTTTATATAAGTAAATATATGTTTGATAAAAATTTAAAAAATTGACAAACATATGATCTATTAAAATATTTTTATGGGAGAATTTTCTTAATAACACATGATAGTTATTTTTTTAGTTGTCTGGCAATAAATTTCGTTGATGTACAATTTTAAAGTTAACCGAATTTAAATTAAACATAAAAATCAATATGATACCTAAATAATGATATGTTCTATTTAACTTTTAGTTATCGAAATACCACGTCAAATTTGAAAAAGATATAAGAATCTATTATATCTTGACATACGAATATGGAAAAACAAAGAGATTGACACATTTCAATAACACTTGATAAGAAAGTGATCATACAATACATTATTTAAAGTTAATAAAAATAAAGTACTTCATATTCTATTAAATATTACATCCCATAAGAGAATGCCAAATATTTCTAGACATTTTTAAAGAGAATTCTATATAAAGTCTTAAAAGCATATATAAAAATTATATTTATATGTCGGTTTGGTTCGGTTTTTTTACTCAACACCAAACCAAGTCAGATCAAACCTTATCGGATTTTTTAATCGGTTTGATTTGACTTTTCGATTTGGTGCGGCTTTTCGGTTTGTTTTGTACACCCCTAATCTTCACGGCAATAACACGTATTTGCAATCACAATAAATAAGCAGAATTAGAAAATAACTTGTTGAGAAATAGAAGCTATATGCATGTTTTTTTGGACTAAGTTTTGTGAAATTGAAAACCTTGACCCTATTATGGTTTAGTTTTTTTTTGTTGGGGTTTGGGGTTGGGGGGGGGGCGGGGGGGGGGGGGGGGGGGGGGGGGGGGGGGAGACCATACAGGCATAGTGGAATTTTGTAGCCAAGTTTATGATTGTGGTTTTGGGTTGGGGGGAGACCGCGCATGTTCACAAATATCGTGGAGGAACAAGATGGATGATCAATACATGGGGATGATCAACATAACTTTTCTAACATATAGTTCTAGGTGTTTTATTATTACTACATGTATATGTTCATTTTGAACTTATTCTATTACTTGCAAGTATATAATGAATAATGATGATAGAGCCTGGTACTCACCTAGAATAGACGTAAATGACGTGTAACTTGCTTTTAAAATCAATTGAGACATCACGCAAGAAGCTTATCAGCCATATTTTGGAGTGCACGGGTGAAATGAAGCATCATGGAAGCTTCTTGGATTTGATAAGTTGGTTGTTTTTTTGGTTTACTTGGTGGAGTAAAGTAAACTGGAAAAACATATATGCATGTATCCGGTATTTATAATATATCTTGTATAAATAATTATTGATCAATCATGTAGTTAATTAACACACATTTTCAATGTTATAGAGTTTCAACTCTAAAGAAAAATTTCTTCCTTAACAAGACTACATAAAAATATTTTCATAATTTACACCTCTCTAGTCATTTGTTTTGCTGCATATTACGTTGACGCAGTATACACCCTACACCTAACTCCTGCTCTTTATATATTTGTCAAGCCGAAAGATTGAGGTACATTGGTTGATTATGTCAAGATTGGAAATATCATTACATATTTTGTTGCCTATTCATTACTAGTCCTTGTTATTAATTTTCTTTTTCAATTGACAAGGTGGAGGTCTAGAATCTGAAATTATATTGGAATAACCTTTTCTTATCCAAATTTATTGCTAATGAATTATATTCCTTTTGAGCTGGGGGGGAAGGATGAACTAGTGTGTAGCTGAAACTATCTAGTGGCAATTTTCTATTTTTTTTTCTGTTAAAAACTACTATAGATATTACTGATGGAACCAGATAATTAAGCCTGAAATTATGGTTTAAGGTAATTGTTTAACTTTTTTTTAAAGTCAAGATTGATGGTAATGACCTAATACTTGTAGTTTCGCTTATTCTTGTGGAAATGGGGGAGAAGTCATTCCCCAGTTCTGAAGCTTTATTGTTCTAGAAAATGCTGGTGCATATCTAGTTGGATATTTGAGCCCTGGAATCCATCTTTTGATGTTCTTATCCACGGTGAATCAAATATGTCCGAAGAAACCAGCTTTTTTAACACTACTATCAAAGAATGTTGAGCACTTTTGCTCAAAAGATCGAGCTATAACAACAACAACGATCAAGTAAAATTCCACTAGTGGGCTCTTTGTATGTACGCAGACCTTACCCCTACCTCAAGGAAGTGGAGAGGCTATTTACAAAAGACCCTCGGCTCAAGAAAACGAAAAGAAACAATATATCAGTATCGTCAACAGATACAATAGGAGTAATAACAGTATCATAAAGACCAGAAAATAGATGGAAAAACAATAGCCAGTAAATAAACCCGACACTATAAAACACGAAAGAGTAGTGAGAACACAACATTAACCACTAGCAGTCTAAGACAAATATCCTATCAGACTAGTCTCACTAGGTACGAAGTAAAAATACACTACAACCCTAATACTCGACATCCACAACTTCCTATCAAGGGCCATGTCCTCGGAAATCTGAAGCCACGCCCAGTGACGGAGGCAGGATTTCTGCTAGGGGGTTCAAAAAAAAAAGTTAAGAAGATTATAGTTATAGTCGGATTTGAACCAACAACCTTACGAACATTTCGAACCCACTTGACCACTAAGTTATGCTTTTGGGTTGTGTTAAGGGGATTCAAAATATAAAATATGAAGGTAAAAAATAGATTTTGCCTTATATATACAGTGTAATCTTTCGGCAAAAGGGGTTCGGGTGAACCTCTTCTACGCCCTTAAATCCGCCCCGGGCTACGCCATGTCCTGCCTGATCACCTCTCCCCAATATTTTTTAGGCTGCCCTCTACCTCTTCTCGTGCCTTCCAAAGCCAGCCGCTCACAACTCCTTACCGGGGCATCTAGGCTTCTCCTATGTATGTGCCCGAACCATCTGAGCCTCGCTTCCCGCGTCTTGCCATCAATGGGATCGGAGCTACGCCCACCTTCTCCCAAATATCATCATTCTTAATCTTATCCATCCTCGTGTGCCCGCACATCCACCTCAACATCCTTATTTCTGCTACTTTCATATTTTGGATATGTGAGTTCTTAACTGACCAACACTCAGCACAATACATCATGACCGATCTAACCACCGTTCTATAAAACTTACCTAAGGTACTCAAAGAGGAAGAATATGGGACACTTATTTGAGGTAGGATATTAAAAGTAATAGGCAGAAAATTTTAGCACTTGTGATTACTTATACTAATTAGTAATTTCACCGAGTATTTGCTTAGTAAATTGCCATGAAGATTATGCAACATGAAAGTGGAAAAGGAAAAAAGAAAGGGAAAAATAACATTGTATAGCCGCTCTCAAAATAATAATTAAAATATATACATATATATATATATATATATATATATAATATATAAATTTTATATACTTTTAAGACTATCAGACGTAAATAGTTGCGGACGTGGGCTAAAAGTGATTTTTTTAGCCCAAAAAAGAAAAGACATGGGACGAAAGATACTATAACTTTGGTCATATGACTTGAGTTACTAAAACTTTATAGCTGGTGGTGGTACCACCTTATTTTCATGCTCTTCAATATTCCAAATAATTTTTTCTGCTCGAATATTATCGTCTCTAAAGTCTGGACTGATGAAAGATAAGATGGTACCACCACTCATCAGCTATTCTTTGAAAGGAAAAATTAAAGTTAGCAAAAACCTATGCTCGTGCCAAATATGGAGTAGTAATTTAGATCAAACAAAAACAAATAGTACTAAGGACCTTTTGACTTTCACTAAATTATATCAAATCGAACCTTCTTTCATCTATGATTTGTACATGGGTATATATAGTTTTAAGTAATATGGATTGCCCAAACTTGTGGTTCTTGACAGAAAAACTCAAAACTTAAGCTCTTTGTAGGAAACTCTTTGAAAACGTTATCCAATAACCAAAAAAGCCATAAGCTAGAATACAACAAAACAGCATGTCAGTGGCTTTCTGAGTCTATAATGCAGTCTATCCTTATAGATGAAAAATGTATGTGCTTATGCATATTTAAGCATCACCTAATTAAATAAGGAAAAATACATTTCTATCACTAATTGAAAATTTTCCACCATTTTTGCAGGTGTAATATACTTGCGAAACAAATTGAATCCTGTTTGAAACACAAAATCATCAATCTATCAATTTCAATTCCAAACTTATTGGAGATTGAGCAAATATGATACTAAGTCAGAACATTAAGGGAAAAAGGGGGGGGTGGGGGGGTTATATTGGGTAGAGTTCGGAACCAAAATGTGGTTCTTTTGGACTCAAAGAATAAAAATATGTGGACAAAAAACATAGTGACCAAAATATATATATAGCGTCTTTAAATAAAACGCTATATTTGAATTAATTTAAGCGGGAAACTATAGCGTCTTTTGTTAAGACGTTATATATATAGCGTCTTAACAAAACATACTATACATATAAATATATCGTCCCCTTCCTTTCCCCCAAAACAGANATTCTCAGTCCCACATGCTAGCTAAGGCGTTATCTCGGACATTGTTGCTTGTTTTGGCTCCAAATCATAAAATCTTCGACTTTTTAAAAATATTAAATCGAGGTATTCCAACTTAGTTTTTGTTAAAACTTGTATAAAAAATGCATATTAGTTGTTTTTTATGTGCTCTATGTTAT